CTTTTACAGATCTGAATCTTCATGGTTATGATTTCATATGGTGTACATATAATATAGTTACATTTCCTAAGCTCAATAATTTTTAACTCATGCTGATACAGTCAATTATGCCTTGTGTGACTTCTGTGTGCTTTGCCCTAGAACAAGCTGAGAAATGCACGACAATGAATTATTGTCCCCCGTGTACAGAAAAGAAGACGGAGGCTCAGAGACATTCAACTTGCCCAAGGTCACCCAGCTAGTAAATGATGAAGAAGGGTTTTAACAGGTCTGAAGGATCCCCCATATCACTAGGCCTTCCGCTGCTGGGACAGGATGTATAATCTAATGAGGGATAAAAACGCCTTCTCCAAGTTGCCCAAACGCTGTTGGTAAGAAACACTAGACCCTTGGTTGACTGTCCGTTGAATTCATACACTGTACCTGCCAATATCTAAAACAAAATGACTTAGTGTAAAACTCATTAACCCGTGCATTTGTCATAAAGAGTTACTCGGGTTTTGTTTTGCACGTGTCTATGTTTTAGGAAGATCTTTGGGGTTATTTTATTGAGTCACTCTGTTAGACATACTGTATGAGATACTCATGGCCCCTAGTCAGAGCACGAAGCTTTCGATAAAAGTAATCAGAAGGGTTGGTTCCAGTCTTGCTCTTCAGAATTTGATTCAGTTTCACACTTACATATGAATTCTTTTGTGTGTGTTGCAAGGAAGGTTGACTCGGAGTCAAACAAAAACTTCCCAGGGCTCTGGTTGTCTTCTCAGAATGCTCAGCGCTGTGAATGACCCTGGACTTGGGCTCCGTCCCAGAGCACCCAAAACTCGGCACCACACCATGCATGGAGGGAGGGCTCCTCTCTCCCCACCTGGCCCTACCTCCCCCAGCTGGGCTGAGCCTCCTCTTCTGACCTGCCGGGAGCACAATTCACACCTACGAAAAAGGCATTTTCCCCTCTGTTGCTGATTTCCTCCTTTGTAAAAAGGAGAGCCAGAGCCAGAGCATGCCTCTTCTCTCCTCTGGCCCCTATGGTGGCAGAAGTCAGGCCTGGCGAGTCTGCCGAGCCTGCCGCCGGTCCCATTTGGGCTGGGTCCCTGTCCCCTGGCCCTGCCTGCTGAGCATACCAAGGCCAAAGCACACTGGAGAGTTCTCCCTCGGGTCTCTCCTCAGGAGCTGCCAAGTGTCATCGATTAAGACAAAAAAGAATAGTAAAGGTGGTCAGAGGATTTAGGTGCAGCTCTTATTACCGGCTGTCTCCATTGTGCATGAGCCAGGCAGCCATCTCCCTCCAGAGGGATTCCAGCCAAACGCTGACTGCGCACGCGTCCTTTCGGGCCACAAACCCCGGCCAGCCGTGAGCACCTCCCGTGCAAAGCGGCTCCACCAGCCCTGGGGTCTCACCCCGGAGCGGCAGCCAGTTCTTGAGTCAGGGCTTGGACAGCTCCAAGACTCTCCTGCTTCAGGCTCCTGGACGTTCCCACACCTCAGCCCCGCAGACCACAACTGGCTTCCTCCTGTCCCCACGTGTTCTCTTAGACCTCAAAGGGAAAACTAGAATATGGCAGGTAGATCCCGGAGGCCGTTCCTGGGCGACTGTCCCCTTCTCCAGAGCCACAAAGCAGACAGGCAGGTGAACCGCAGGTGACGAGACCCTGTGACCCTGAGGGGTTTTGGAGCAGACCCTCTATGTTCCCTGCATTACATATGCTGGGGGATGGTACCCCCAGCCAGAAGCCAGGCCTTCAGCCCCCACCCAGACTCTAAGTCTTGACATGCAAATCCATCCCTGTCCTCTACCCTCCCCCGGGGCCTCCGGTCTCTGTTGTTTTTCATGTGGTCCACCTTCCTCTCTCTAGCCCCTACCACAGTGGCCTTTCAGGAACCCAAACTGGATCACAGCGCTCACCTGCTAAGAGCCAGACAGCAAAAGCCTTTGAGATAGGTTCTGTCCTTACCAGGAGCGGCCTTGGCGGTGAACCCAGCCCTGTCTGTGGATCCAGTCTTATCTAGGCCCCTCCCCAGCAATACCTGCGCTCCAGCCCGCCACACATCTTGTCCTTTGTTACCAGAACATGCCATGCACTCACAGCCTCTCCACCTTTGCACCTGCCGTTCTGTCTGCCCATCCTTCCAGCAAATTCCTGCTCATCCTTCAAGGTGCAGCTCAAAGGTCTACTCCTGCATGAAGCCCTCTCTAACCCACCTGTCTTAGCTCAGGCTGCCATCACCAAATACCACAGGCAGGGGGGCTTAAACAACGGACATTAATTTTCTCACAGTTCTGGAGGCTGGAAGTCTGGGATCAGGGCGCCAGCGCGGTCAGGTTCTGGTGGGAGCTCTCTTCCTGGCTTACACGCTCTGCCTTCTCTCTGCCCTCACATGGCAGAGGGAGGAAGGGAGGCAGTGGGGGACAGAGAGGGAGAGAGAAATACCTCGTTTTTTTCCTCTTCTTATAAGGCCATGACTCCTATCAGATTAGGACCCCAACCTTATGACCTCCTAAAAACCACATCTCAGAATACAGTCATACTGTATCAATGAATTTGGGGGGGCACAGTTTAGCCCAGGGTGCCTCCCCAGACAAATGTGGTTGCTGCCTCCCCTCAGAGCCCCATATTCACCAGGGGAGGGCGTCCCTTTCTTAGAGCACCCCTATTCCTCATCGCCATTTGTGTCTCCTGAACTAAAGGACCAAGTGCTCTCTGCCCCGTCCCATCCCCTGCTCTTTTGGGGTCACCCCCTCTGTGGGAAGGCCACTGTCTTCTAGCAGACTTTGTGTGCTGACCTGTTCGTTTCCCCAGCTGTGCCCAGAGCTCTGGGAGGGCAAGGCCCCCTCTCCTCTGTGGGCACTGAGCAGGCCTCCTGGGGAGAATTTTAGTTCCACTGTGGGAGGACCCGGGGCTGCTGGGTGTGGGCCCCACTTGTGCCTCTGCCCACCCCCCACCCCCACACTCCCTTATTATGGAAGCCTTATTCCTCCCCAGCCCCAGAGCCTCTGCAGTGTCCTCCCAGCCTAAGAGGAGACATTCTTGCTGCCTGTCCTGGCAACAGCAGCCCTGGGGGGCAGACCAGGTGTGCATGCGAGGCACGGGACACCTTCAAGACCCTCTGCTTTCTTAATACCCTGCCACGGGCCGTTAGTTTTTGCATCACAGGAAAAAAATGAAAATTCCACTGAGCGTTTATGGGTTTCCCTCCAGGTCCCCACGGGGGCATGGTGCAGAAATGGGTCCTGCCTCTGGCCCAGAGAGCGGCTCTGGGCACACAAAGGTTATTTACTTAATATATTTACTTTTACTCCCAGGCCAAAAGCTTAAAATATCTCGCGTATGAGCTGTGGACCAAAATAATAATAATAATAATAATAATAATAATAATAAAGAAGCAGTTGGGCCATTAATCATTGAGAATATGTTGAATAGGAACTTGATTAAAGCACAGTATGTGTTCCCCAGACGAAGTTGCTTCTTTACAGTGACCACAGTGGAAGCCTGGCCTCCCGGGGCCGGCTGTGCCTTTGCGGGGCACCTCCTCTAGGGCTCCCGGGCGGGCTCTGGCGCCTTGCCAGGCTTGGGAAGGCCGCGGGCCGGGAGGGGGTCTTGACCTGCGCAGCCCGGCTTTTCTCAAGCAGGCACACCTCCCACCGGCACCCAGGCGGTGTCGGGCTTCAGCGCACAAAGTCGTAAGGGGCGGTGGGGACGACCTGCGGTCCCGGGAGGCCCCACGGGAGCCGGCGGCGGCCCCCCGCCCCCACCCGCGATCCCGGGATAGAACCGCGAGGCGCCACGTGGCTGGGGAGACGCGCTGCCTGAAACCCCTTCCCCCGGCGGCAGTGAATGCGGAGGCGGCGGCCAAGGGGCACCCGGGCCTGGCCACCTTGTTCCCCAAGATCCCGGGAACCAAGCGCGCTTCGAACCATCGGCAGAGTTCTCCCAGTAGGTGCTCGGATTCTGGGACGCCCCGGCTCCCTTGGCAACCCCGTTCCTACCAGAATGGGCGGGGAGTGGGGGGAGACAGTGGATCCTGGTCCCGTTGACTGCCAACCCCGCTTTGGGATCGCCGTCCCGAGTCAAGTTCGCCCCCTCCCTCTATGCGCCCCACCTCGCCCCGGTACCCCAGCCCTGGAATCCAGCTGGGCCCGTCCCGCAGGAAAGAATTGGCGGCCCAGGGCCGGGTAGCAGCGCCAGCCCCGCGCGCCTAGCAACCCTAGCGCTACGGCTAGGAGAAGTAATCAAAAAGAAAAAGTTTTCCAGCCCAAGCGGACGGACCGGCAGGGTGCTCCAGGATCCCCGGCCTCAGCCGCCTCCCATTCCCTCCGCTCCTCGCGGGGTCCTAGCGCCCGGCGGTGCAGAGCCCGTGGGACCTCAAAGGACTGTGAGAGGCGGAGCGGGGGAGAGGTACTTCTGCGAGGAATCGGTGGGGTCGCCTGGAGATCAGAGATAAAAGACGCAAAATCACCGCGCTCCAGGACGCTTCCCTCGGCCTCTCCGTGCAGCTGTGTGCGCTGGGCCACACGTCCCAAACTCTTCCCTGCCTCCCACCCCCGGCTCCGGCCCCTTCTCCACGCCGCCGCCTAGCAGAGACGCGGCTCCCGAACAGGACTAGTTCTAGCTTTTAAAGCGAGTCCGCGCCGCAGTAGCTCAGAGACCAAGACTGGCCCTCCACCAGCCCCCCGCCACCTCGCCCCCCCGGCCCCGCCCCGCCCCGCGCAGCGTCTGGGTGCTCCCGGACTCCCCGACCGTTGGCTGGAAGTGGGTGCCTCGGGGAAGCTGGAGGAGGGGGCCCAGTCACCGACCACGTGTGTGCGGGGGCGACAGCTCGGCCCAGGATGGGGCATCGAGCGCGCGTCCGGGTCCCGCTGGCGGGGCAGGGGGTTAGTGGGCGTTGCGCCGGGGCCTCCCGGCCCGCGCCGCGCTCCTGCCCCACTCACCACCCCCTCCGGAAGGCAGGCGCTAAGACCCAGGAGGCGCCGCTCCGCCGTCGGACTCTAAAGGGCGACGCCCCCGGTATAAATGCGGGGCCCGCGCGGGCCTGGCCATTCGCGACCGGGAGCTGCGCGGGCGCTAGGGAGTCGGGGCTCCGGGTGGGCGGTGAAAGCATTGGCGCCCCGCGCAGGCTGGAGGCCGCCGAGGCTCGCCATGCCGGGAGGACTGTAGCTCCCCCATGGAGTCGGCCGACTTCTACGAGGCGGAGCCGCGGCCCCCGATGAGCAGCCACCTCCAGAGTCCCCCGCACGCGCCCAGCAGCGCTGCCTTCGGCTTTCCCCGGGGCGCGGGCTCCGCGCAACCCCCCGCCCCACCTGCCGCCCCGGAGCAGCTGGGCGGCATCTGCGAACACGAGACGTCCATCGACATCAGCGCCTACATCGACCCGGCCGCCTTCAACGACGAGTTCCTGGCTGACCTGTTCCAGCACAGCCGGCAGCAGGAGAAGGCCAAGGCGGCTGCGGCCCCCGCAGGAGCCGGCGGCGGCGACTTTGACTACACGGGCGCCCCCGGGGGCCCCGGCGGCGCCGTGATGCCCGGAGGGGCGCACGGGCCCCCTCCTGGCTACGGCTGCGCGGCGGCCGGCTACCTGGACGGCAGGCTGGAGCCCCTGTACGAGCGCGTCGGGGCGCCGGCGCTGCGGCCGCTGGTGATCAAGCAGGAGCCGCGCGAGGAGGACGAGGCGAAGCAGCTGGCGCTGGCCGGCCTCTTCCCCTACCAGCCGCCGCCGCCGCCGCCCCCGCCGCACCCGCACCCGCCGCCCGCGCACCTGGCCGCCCCGCACCTGCAGTTCCAGATCGCGCACTGCGGCCAGACCACCATGCACCTGCAGCCCGGCCACCCCACGCCGCCGCCCACGCCCGTGCCCAGCCCTCACGCAGCGCCGGCTCTCGGCCCCGCTGGCTTGCCAGGCCCTGGCGGCGCGCTCAAGGGGCTAGCCGCTGCGCACCCCGACCTCCGCGCGGGCGGCGGCGGCGCGGGCAAAGTCAAGAAGTCGGTGGACAAGAACAGCAACGAGTACCGGGTGCGGCGCGAGCGCAACAACATCGCCGTGCGCAAGAGCCGGGACAAGGCCAAGCAGCGCAACGTGGAGACACAGCAGAAGGTGCTGGAGCTGACCAGTGACAATGACCGCCTGCGCAAGCGGGTGGAACAGCTGAGCCGCGAACTGGACACGCTGCGGGGTATCTTCCGCCAGCTGCCCGAGAGCTCCCTGGTCAAGGCCATGGGCAACTGCGCGTGAGGCGCGGGGCGGCGGGACCGCCCTGGGCCGGCCGCCGGCTGCGACCCAGGGAGTGGTTTCGGGTCTCCGGATCTCAAGACTGGCCCAGCGGCGCAAGCCGGGACTAGGAGATTCCGGTGCCGCCAGAAAGCCTGGCCTGCCGCGCGTGCCCCTTGCCTTCCTCTGCGCCAGATTCGGTGCGTTTAAGATGAGGGGTCAGGCGATGGTTTCTCCCTGCAGGAGAGAAGTGCCGTGGGGCCAAGCCGGGAGTCCCGGCAACTCTAGTATTAAGGAATAACCTTGTGCCTTGGAAACGCAAACTCACCGCTCCGATTCCTACCGAGTAGGGGGAGCAAATATGTGCCTTGTCATTTTATCTGGAGGGTTCCTGCCTCATTCCTGAGGCTGCAGGCCCCCAGGAGAGAAGGCAATGTGCAGGCCCATGGCAGGAGGAAGGTTCAGGGAGCAGAGATCCCGACAAGCCAGCCTTAGCCGCTCCTCCATCGCCTGTCCTTGGAAGGGAGGAAATACAGGGACTTGGAAGGTTGTTCCCCCAGTTCTACACGAAGGTGGAGGGTCCCTAGTTCCTTGCCTCTAATCTCCCAGCCTGCAACAGGCTGGGCTTCCCTGGGCAGAACTCACTTAGATGGGGGTCACCAGGTGACCGGTGGGAACCCCCTGCCCCCAGTCAGACCAGAAAGCTAGGACATGGGTTAGCTCTCCGGACATGTGTTCATGGGAGTGGCGGCCTGGTGGCGCAGGGAAACCTAGAACTCTGGTCGGGGGTGGGGGTGGGGGGGGTGAAGGGACCCTGGGACCATCAGCCTTGTACTGTATGTTGCCAGCATTGCCATACAAACATGAAGCACAATCTGTCCATCCCAGAGGGACCGAAGTTATGAGAAGCTTTCCAAATATTTTGCTTTATCAGCCGATATCAACACTTGTATCTGGCCTCTCTGTGTCCCAGCGGTGCCTTGTGCAATGTGAATGCGCACGTCTATGTTAAACCACCATTTTATTTGGTTTTTGTTTTGTTTTGGTTTTGCTCAGATACTTGCCAAAATGAGACTCTTTGTCAGCAGCTGCAGGGAGGGTCTGCGGCTCTCTTTCCTTTTGGTTTTTGGGGATTGCTTTTGCTCCCAGGGGAACCAAAGAGGTGAGGTGGGCTTCCTCTTTCCCTGGGGGAGTTGGGGGGGCTGTGGGCCTCGGCGCCCTCCGGCCTGGGCCGCCCACAGGCCTGTCCCCCCAGAGGCCCTGACTCCTGGTCTGGAAGGGAGGCGGCCTCCAGCCAGCATGCACAGATCGCTGGGGCTGGGAGCAGGGAAGGACAGCTTGGTTCTCTCCTTTGGGGAGAACGTAGAGTTTCATGCTAGATGTTTTATGTATTATATCTATAATATAAACATATCAAAGTAAATTTTGGTGTCTTTTTAAAACCAGAAAAGCTACTTCCAGTGTTTTCTGTGGGCCAGGTCACATTTGTAAATAATCACTGCATATTCTCTGGCTGAGATCCCGACTTTCATTAGCTCTCCCATCCTGAGCCCCTCTTTACATTAAGGGGGTGACTTCTCCCAACCAAGGCAAATAAATGGCAGAAGGAGGGCAGGCTCCAAGCTGAGAAAGCCCAAAGCCTGAAGAGAGAGTCTCCCCGGGGGGGCGAGTTTGAGGGGGGTTCACAGGGCCTTGGTGTGGCCTCTCCTGGGCCCCTGGGAGGAACAGAGGGACTCAGAGAAGGACACCTCTGCCTGACCTTGCCACAGGCTCTCTGGGACTTGAACAGGCCTGGCTGGTGGCTCCAGGCTCCGGGGGCCCTCCGGCCATGTTTGCTTCTAGATCACTCACAACTCTAGCTCTGTGGCAGCCTTGCTCATACCCGGCCTGCCTTCCCCACCAGCACGACCCTGGGAGGGCAGGGAGAGGCCTCAAGCAGGAGGCCCCTTGGCCCTTCCCCACTTGCTCTGGGTTGTGTGGCTGTAGCCTACCCCAGCAGGGCCCCGAAGGGCGGCCTGAAGGCAGAGCACCCCTCCGCCCCACCTTCCATACCTGCCCTGCCCCAGCCAACCCGCCGGAAGGGGACCCGCAGTGAGTATGTGGTCCGTCACCCACACCACCTGGCAAAGAGCCAGCACCAGTCCACACTCTCCCCACTGTGCCCACCCTGGACCACGTCCCCCACTCAGACGACTGCCCTAGGAGGACAGACACCCCGGCGCCCCCTTAGCCGCAGTGATAGCCAACCAGAGGGGCCCACACTCACGCCTGATAGAACCAGGCCTGGCAGGAAGTAGCACAGGAGGCTGGCTGGGCTTTCAGAGTTTACTCTCGCTGAGGGTAAAAAGCAGACACTCTTTGCCTTCTATTTTCAGCCCCGGAGAATTCACTGGAGCAGCTTACCATGTCTGCCAATGTGGGCTGGGACAGTTTCAAGAAATTACACACAACTTTTCGACTCTGAAAGCTTTAGTTTTGCCTGCCCGGTGTGGTTAACAGGGGTGCCTTGCCCCCCTTCCCACCCCGGCCCCCACCCCCTCTGTCCCGCGTCTTGCCGCCTCCTTGCCCATGGCCGCTCTTGGCCGAGGAAAGGCCATGAGCCCAGTGTGGAGGCGGCTGCCTGCCCCACCACCCTGGGAACCAAAGAGGCAGAGCCCCACCGCCTGCCTAAGGCCTAGGGCAGGCCACAGCTTGCTAGGCCCCAGCAAACCCTCTCTGAGTTCAGTGCTAATTCCAGTTTTTCTTGTTTGAGGGGGCCAAACCTCAGCCTCCCCCTTTGCCCCCAGAACAGATCCCAGGATGAGCAGGGGAGGGCCTCCCCTCCTGCCTGCCCTCCTCCCTCTCCCCTCCCACTGCCTCATCTCCCAGGTTTCCTCTTGCAAAGCTGTCAGCCTACTAAGGGGCACCCCTCCTACTGTAGACCCTGAGGTCCAAGGCAGACTTTGTTGGGGACAAGACAGATGCGACCAAAGTCAACCCTAGGGAAGGTATAGGGCCAGTGGGGGCCCCCAGGGGACAGAGCAATCAGCCAAGGGGGGGGGGGCAGTGTGGAGCGAACCTACCCGGCATGTGCTGTGTGCCTGGCCAGAGGGGCCCCTGGGGAAGAGCTGCTCCTTGCCACCCACTGCTTCCTGCAGGGCCCCCATGGTTCCCCTCCTGACTGCAGCCTTTGTGAAGAACCACTCCAAGAGCCTGGCACTGAACACACCCCAAGTATTTATTGGATGCCTACTGGGTGCCAGGGCCTGTGCCAAGGATGGGTCACTCAGCTGGAGACAAACAGACTTGGCTCCTACTCTCCGGAGCTCACAGTCTTGTGGTCCCGAGATGTATTTTAAGGGTGACAAGTGCAATAAAGGGAAGCTCAAAGTGTGTCTAGACGCCACCAGGGAAGGCTTCCTGGAGGCAGCAGTCTGATCCAAGCCCTGGTCATGGACACAGTCCAACATGCCTGGATGCCTCTGCCTTGTACTCTCTCAGGAGAGGTAGCAGGGACCTCACCCCCTCGGTGGGCCACCTGAGCCTGGTGGCCCCTGAGATCAGTGCTCTTCAGAGGAGCCAGCCTCCAGGGAAGAAGCAAAGGTGAAACGGAGAGAGGGAAGTTCTCCTTTGCTGCCAAATGCCACCTGATGGTTTAGCACTGTCACGGATGTCACCCTTATCTCCTGGATCTCCTGGGAATTTGTGAACGTGGGGTTTGGCCCTGACACCTGTGATGAGCCACTGGGACTGGTGAGGAGTGTCTGCCCCTCCCAGGTCTCCCGCCCCCTCCTTCCCAGGCAGGAACCTGCCAGGCCTCCTCCAGAAGCTGCTGATTTCATGGGAGGAGAGGGGGCAGTGGGGTAGAGAAAGGGAAGCCGGTCAAGGGAGAGCAGAAACCCTGACCTTGCTCATCCATGAGGCCTGTCCTTCCAGGCACCCACAGCCCTTCTGCAGACACGGGGTAGAGTCCTTGCCTGGACGGTGGCTCTGTCCCATCTGTTTATTTCCTATACTGGTGGGTGGGGAAGGCCTTTCTCGTCTTTTCCTTAAATAGAATTAAACCACCAGCACCTTTGAAAGATCTTTCTTGTCTCTGTGAAAGATGATACTAACTCTCTTCTCTTGATGCCCCCCCTCACTTCTCCCCTCCCCCAGCCCCTCTCTGTGCATGGAGCATTTGACGTAAGCGGAGACATAGGAAAGATACCAATTCACTATCAAAGCATCCTAGCCCCATCCCAGAGCAATTAAAAAGCCAGATGGAATCTCTGGGAAAACGGCATTAATAACGCGAACAATCTGTGCAGGCCGGCAGGGACCCAGGAGCTGCAGGCGGGGGCAGGGGGGAGGCTGGGATGCAGGAGCGTGAGCTCGCACCAATGCTTCAGCCACGCTGTGGCCAGCCCAGGATGGGGCCATCTCAGGGGGATGCCTAGATCTGGCCACAGCTGGGCTCTCCCTGCCAGCCCCCTGCAAGGCCCGCTGTGCATCCTGAATCCCGGTCGCTGCAGTTGGAGCCAGACAAATGTGGAACCCATTACTCATGCAGCCACAGCCTCAGCCAGCCCCATTCTGGCACCCAAGAGCTTTGCTTCCCTTCACTTTTGTTTTTATTTATTATTTTTCTAGCCTTCTGGCCCCACCCACTAGGAACAGGACTCCCCACGCGATAGCTTCCAAAGATCCCCTTTCTCTTCCTTTGCCGTGCCCAAGCCCACCACCTTGCTGGGGAACAGCAGAAGATGGTGTTGGCACCCCATGGGGTCTGAACCCTAGAGGTCCCCCATTGACTGCAGAGTGGGTGGGCACTCAGAGCAAGGAGACCAGCTGGGCTCTCAGAAGCAGACATGATTGCCAGGGGAGCAGGGCACGGGGGTTCACACTGCCTGGCTGCCCTCAGGGGCCCCCAGGGGCTGGACAAAGACTACAGAAAAAGGATCTGCTATTGCTCTGAAGCCCTCTCTAGGCAGAGCCAAGAAGTAGGACCCTTTTATTTTTCTTTAGGGAATGGAAGTAGTCCTGTTTTATTTTATTTTATTTTATTTTATTTTATTTTATTTTATTTTATTTTATTATTTTATTTTATTTTCTTTAGACCATGGTTGGAGGCCCACCTGAGGCCAGCTGAAAGATAAATAGTTTTCTTATAGCGATCAAGTCGGGATAGAAAGTGTTTTTTTTTAAACATCCTTTGTGCTTTTTATGTACCCAGAGAGCCACTTTCTGACCTTCATCTTCCCTGTCCCCACCCTCCACCTTCACCCTCACCCTCTCTGGAAACTGTTCTCCCCAAGGTCACCATGAACTCCTGGAGCCAAATGACATGAACTTGCCTGGGATCCTGCCTTTCTTGGCTTCCTGCTGAATTTGGCCTGTGTCTGGCCCACGGCAGGCCTTCAACACATGTGTCTGAATGCATGGCTCTCTCTGCAACTCCTCTCTCTCCTTGCTTAAGAAACATCTTCACTCCCTCCTTTCCACGCAAGGGTCCACTGGGTTGGCCTGAGATCCTCCCGAGGGGCTCGAGGGACCAGGGTTCACCATTACGGGAGTAACGAAAGGCCTAAGAAAGGTAACCTATCTGGTTCTAGATAATCCTCAACACCTCTGTGTGATTCGTTTAGCACCAGAAGCAGGGGCTAGCCAGGCCCCAGGAGATGGTCAGCTCCATAGGGTGTAGCTCTCCTCTTATCCCCACTCTAGGATGACTGGCAAAGTCAATATTGAGGGACCGAGGACAGGATCACTAGTGGCCGAACAAGGTGGCCTAGGGCCAGGGCATGTCACCCAGTGATCCAGACAGGGCCTCAAGGAAGCCATCACAGCCTGTCCCAAGCCTTCTAGATCTGATGGTATTTCTGCACCTTGGCAAGTAGCCGCCAGCCTCTCACCAGAAAGAAAGCCTCTCCTCCCTGAGCAGCCTTGGTCCCTTCCCTGCCCAGCCACGGAGGCCTCAGGGAGCATCCCCTACCTCCCTCCCAAGCCAGCCGGAGCACTCTCCTGGTGCCCTCCAGGACCCCGAGCTGGTGAGGAAACACGGCTGATTATGGCGGCCCTTCTCTCGGGCCCGTTGGGCAATGGTCTCGGCTGGACGTGCGGCATAACCCTTGCCCAGAGAGCAAGGGGGTGTCAGAGGTGTCTGCCTGCCCCCAGAGAGGTGCTGTGACCTTCAGTGTCAGGTTCGGACCCGTCTGAAGTAGCCTCCCGGAGTGATTTACAATTTGCAAACACGTTTTATTTGATTCCTCAGTTTTGCTAGAGCAATTACAGTGACTAAGCATGACAAATCACTCCCATCACGGTGTCTACTCGCTGTTAGGAAATGTGTTTGCTTCACTATTTTGCCTGGTGCGGCAACATTTTAAAAATAGACTCATTCACTGTACTTGAAGGCAATTTGTTCCAAATTTTCCCACTAATTTGATTTTAATCTGATATTTAAAATTCGTGTGACCACATTCCCACTGATTTATAGGGAATAAGCCCTACCTGGCAGCAGTTTAATTGGCCTTAACCCAGAAGTCCAC